TCTGTAATCGTATGATATTGTTCATCTTTCGCTCTTATTGACGGGAGACCCCAATTGGAATGTTGAATTTGGTTTCATTGCATTTACTCGAATTAGTTAGAAATGGGCGGTGTTGTCGATCACTGTGTGCGGGTTCGAACCTTTTCACTTTGCAACTATTTCTTTGCAGCAGTCCCATGAAATGTTAGAGCAGTTTCTTGTCCGTCGTGATATACATCCCGATTAAATTTTTGTTTTGATGTCACGCGAATAGGAATCGTACAATTTAGTCGTTCTTTCGTGGTTCAGCAGTGTGGTCTGTCCGTGAGGGGAGAGGCTTTTCAATTTATAAAATGATGAATAATTTTTTTGTTCGTTCTGCTTGAAGCAAACATGGTTATTGCGCGTCACTCTTTTTGCAGGACTAATTTTTTCTTAGGCGAAACAACGTGGTTCCCAATCGATGTCTGCTTCAATCTTTGGTTCATACATTTAAAAATTGCCTTAATACTTCGGAGTGAGTTGATATTCCTTGGTTTTGTCCGCGTTGCTCAGTTCATCGATTCTTCAACGTCCAATGCTGTCCTACCTTCGGTCAAGTATGACAACTTTGAATTCTGACGTCCGGATTTCGGTTTTGGCGCATTGTTGGATGAGGTAATCCAAACGATTAGGTGTTGGCATTGAATGTCACGACAGTATTCATCGCATCAGCTGATGAGTTTATCCAAGGTAACTTTTCATTCACCGACTATCATTCCATCTATTTCTCAAGAAAATTTACTCGCCAGTCAGAAATATCAGTGAGTTGCACAATATGATACATTATGATACAATGCAAAAATTATGATATTCATTTGACTTTAGGATAGATACTTTTACACAGACGTTAAGGATGATGTATTCCGATTTTATGTGGTCGATTTTTCAGGATCGACCGGATTGTAAATTGCTGCAACAGAGCTGGTGGAGTTGCCATTTTCTTCAACGGATTTGGGTGTAACAACAACCTGTTACTGTTTGATTCCTCAACCTGTAAAAGCGATCATAATTTCGTAAAGTTTATCGGACACAAACCGTTGGAACCATCGTGGTTATTGCGTCTTGGTGATATTGTAGGTGTAAGTTCTGTCTTAGCTCAAACGGCGAGTTTCCTATTTGGTGTCTACTCCAGTCCTCGGTTCGCATATCTTCAAAATCCATGCAGTGGTTATTGTCGTTTTTTGATTGCCTGAATGGATCGTTGAGTGTCACCTATTGTTGTGCATCTTATCCTTTTCCATATCTTTTAGTGTTTTCATGTCTGACGTCCAAATTTCGGTTTTTACTCGTTTGGTGATGATTATCTTTATACATTTGATATTCAATGTGCGGTGGTGGCCCAGTAGTAAGGTCACTGAATAACCCCCCCTCCGGGACACGTGTATTCGAACCCCATCACCATCGCCCGACTTTCCCGATGGCAGCTCTTTGATTGGCCGCTTCTCATTTCCTGAAAATTGTATCATTGTGTATTTAATGAAAGGACGTAAAATTAAAAAGAAAGAAAAAGAAATGGTAGTGGTTGATTAGTTTAGCCGAGGAAAGGGTCCATCCACAAAAGTAGGATTCGATTTATTTATAAAGCTATAAAGTTTGCTTGCCCGTCGAAGAAAACGATGATTTCTGGAAAGTGATGTATCAAAGAGAATGCGAAATTTGGGGATTTTTTTGACTTCAAGACATTGGAGATGACTTTGTGGTAGAGGATGTTTTTAGGGGCGACCGGATTGGTCACTTCCTCAACCGATGTTGGTGTAACAACCCTTACCTGATATGTAATTAACTGACCAGTAAAAACAATCGTAATTTCATAAGGTCTTTCGAGCATTAACCGTTTGTTTCAGCAAAACGTATCTCTTTTCAATTTCCAAGTTATTTGGCTTCAAACACATTCTTCCCTTCCATCGCATGCGTACGCATACTAGCAATGCAAATTAGAATAGATCGCTTAATTGAATCCTGTATGACAGTTGACATTGGCCCCGAATCTCTTTCTTGAGCTTGATCAGGAAGTTCAGAAGTCTTGCTTTGAAATGCCTAGAAGTAATTAGAAGACTTGTAATGAAGCGCTTTTTACTTTCTCGTTGTTCGTCTGCGAAAGGGAATGAGATTTTTTGTCTCGTATTGTCCTCCTTAGATATAGCTATGAATAATGATAATCTGTCATTTGGCATCACCACAAAGGGTATGCGTGTTGATCTTTTGAGCTCTAATAACCCATTTATCATATTCAAATAGGTGACCTTGCCTCATCCATGTAACTATAATTCACAGTTTCAGTTATTTACCCTCCACCGTCATTTAAAGCAGCCGTCCGTGAATATGCGTCCAAACAGACAAAGCATCAGCACATTAAGGAACCGCGGGCATTTCCTAAATAAACACGTATTCTATGTACTTTATGTTCAAGTACCGATTATTCCTTCTATATATCACAATCTTCGATGGTGTATTCCTTCGCACATCTTGTTAGCATAGGCAGCGTTGGTAACTTGAAGCTTTTATATTTGGTCAAGGATGAATATCGTTCGGAGATCTTCGTCCGCTAATTGAGTTCTTATCAGGACCGCACGTGAACGAGGAAATACAATTTACTTCAATGGGTTCATTCATGCTGTCCGCACATGCTGGAATCGCTGGAACCAAATACACCATCTCATTGTTATAATCCGCGAAGGCGGTACTGGTGGACGGCAAGTCATATCAACGATAACGGTCAGGAGATAGTTAAACTGTCCTTCACATCCCAAAGGTTGCACAATTCCCGCAAACTCACAGGATATGTAATGAAACGGTCCGCTATCAAATGCGCATTCTTGCGCATTCATCGAATCAAACGGCAACAATTTTCATCAACAGGTTTTGTTCATTTTTGATCGTTGAAAGAAACCGCTGATCGCACCTTTTTGCGTGCTACTCACAAGTGAGTAGTATCTCACAACATCATTTGCACGCACGCCAACAGGCGCACACTTGTGCATGCCTGGCATGATATTTCTTATCATCGCTCATCGGCCACCGCCATTTGACAGGTCAATTTGACCGTGGCTGGCCAGTTTGCTTTTTCTGATATTCTTGCACGCCTTACGGCTCATAGTTTCAGTTCTATGCTGTGCCACATGCAACAAAACATGTCACTTCTGGAGATCTGGTATGAGGGATTTGCAACCACAGCAATCGATGACACCAAATGATCTACACAATTGCTTAATTCATAAGTGTAGGAACTCATCCGATTAGAAAAGCTCATCAAATGTCAGTGTTTGTATGACTTACAAGCGTCCCCAATCGTTTCCACTTTGTAGACATCGTATCGATCAATAATTTCATCAAATTCGCTGTACAGCTTGTTAAGTAACGCAACGACCTATGTGTAGAAAAAGGATAAATGGTACGATTTACGGGAGTATTTTAACATTGAATATCACTGTTTTCCATTCATTATTGTTTGTTATTGTCGAAATTTCAGCAACTAGAGTGTAATCCGACAAAACAGATGTTGAGGAGCATCATTGGTTTCACCATAGTTGACATTGCATTTCGAAATTTTATTAGGTAAATAACTGTTCTTTTCCTTAAAATACACCAATGCGATGCATTGTTCAATCTACTGAATACTCAATGTGTTTTTTAATTAAAGTGAGATTTTTAACTGAATCGAGGGAAACACATGTTACCCCGAAGCGTTTGGTAATAAGCATAGCAAACCGAAAATTGCGAAAGAGCCGATTGCGTCAGTTCCCGAATTGCGGGTCACATTACACCTTCAATTCAAAGGTGATGACGCTAGCCGCCTGCTCTACAAACGACTGAGCTCAGCAATCGCTCGAACTTACTACGCAGCCGACCCCCAAATCGTCTACCGAACAACCGGGATATCTGCACCCCTGGCAAAAGAACGTCTGCCTCTGTACGCCAACTCTGATCTAATCTACCAATTCCAATGTGGCTGCGGAGCAACCTACGGGGGCCGAACAGAGGGACAATTACGCTATCGGGTGGTGCAACATATTCCGAATTGGGTCTAAAATCAAGTGAGGTCAAGTCCGCTGCATAGAAACGACAGTTGAAACTACAAGACCCCGTCCTCAGCAATTGCTCGACATTTGCTGATGACGCAACACCAGGTCAACCGAGACACAGCGTTTCCAAGTGTCTACAAGTCACAAGTCGCAAGATAGCCAAATTTTGCCGAAGTGATCGCGATTAATCGATGGAAGCCCCCTTTGTGTCAGCAAAAAGAACTTTATGTTAGTCTCTCCCTGGTCTCTCCTCTTGGTCCTTTTACCCCTCCCTCCTTTATGTTTTGCCTGTTTTTAATGTAATTTGCTTTACTTTGTTGCTCTGCTAAAGTCCTATATAGACATTGCATTTTCTGCAGTATGCATCATGTTGAGATGCAACATAATCGTCCTGGACATAAATCGTGCAGTATTGCAGTATAGTCTTTTCTTTTGACATGTTAGAGCATTCAACCCCCAAAAAACAGTTACTGTGGTGCCGGTTGATGGTTTACTTTCCCTCAAGCAGTTATTTCGTAAATCCAACTGTTTAATTGTTTCCCTGAATCAAAGAAATTAAAAATTGTGGTATATGGCAATTCAAACTCTCCCCTTCCGAGTATTTACTCTCAAAGCATAATCAACTCCGAGTTAGTCCAACATCCCAGTTACTGACTGATTTCACCACTGAAAACCGCCAAGACCAAACTCTTTCAAACGAACACAAGTTGTGTTAGAACAAAAACACCGGACTTAGTACCGTCTCAAAAACAGCTTTTAGTTTCCGTGTTCATGACAGCTGTCACATTTTTCCCAGTGTAAAACTGAGACAACTTTGTACACCACTCGGATGTTTCATGAAGGTCAATGGTATCAATTCATAGGATCAATCGGAGCGCAGTCTTTGGGCGTTTGTACATATGTGTGTGCTCGATGCAACTCGTATTCTCATCGGGGACTTTCACATTATCAGAGTAGAACTCATCAGAGTGCACAGCTTGTGATAAGTCAGCTATCCTGAAAGGTGACTCGTTGAAAACATCGCTAATTGGGTTCTCTTGAAATTTCGTGAAACGTGTGGAATCACGGCCGGGTGAATCTCGCATCTTACAGGGTAGGACAGTCCAGATGATCTTACCAATACTCTTTAAATGAAAGCGTTATTTTTAATTGAATTGACGTTGGAATTTGCGCAGTTTCATACAAATTTGTCTTCCTGGTTCTTCTCCTGTTCAATCAAAAACCATGTGGGTTTAAACTCAAACTTGTGAGAAGCAGAATTAGGCTTGTCAACTCTTCGAAAGACCCTTAGAACAATTGCTGGTCCCAACTTTTATTCAACTCATGTACAAATTTCTTTATATGTTTCCGTGTGGGGAATATTGTTTTCGACCATTTCAGGCAAATTCCACGTCTGTTATGATATCCCATGAGCAATGGGCAATGTCTGAGCTAAACAGATGTTTGGCACCCAATGAATATTTCGTTTTTGAAAAGAGGTTTATTTCAAGGTTTACTGCAAAGTTCACATCGACAAACTGCATTTGTAGGTTAAAATTCGCCTTCGGTCCTCTGTTTTCAGATTTTACGGAAGGAGAAAAATGAGGTTGACGATAATTCATAGGTTTTTGGGATTACAGTACCTTGAATTCTTAATTTTACTTTGCAAAATCATAAACACCTATTTGTAACATCCTAAAATCCGATTGGTTAAATCATACCTATGATTTCGTCACAATAACTTCATTTGCAACAAAGAACAAATTTATTTGGACAGCTGTTTCAGGATTTATGAACCAATACTGTAATTCGATGTTTTGTATGTGGTTTAGATGTTACTGACCACAAAGAGCTTGACTTTAAGCATCTTTATGGAATATTTTACAATACCTATTACTGGTTCTGAAGGAAATGTTCAAGCAAATCTGCCCGGTGTTATAAGTGAGGTTATTGTGACAAAAAATGCACTTCTTGGGTACACGTTTAAGAATGAAAAGACAAAAGACTACCGGACACGCATGCTTCATGAATGTGAATAACTCCAAAACCACTCTTGTGCTTCCAGGGAATTTTTACCAATCACTCATATAATACTTATTGTAAAATATAGATGTATATATACCTATATGTCCGTATGTATCTATGTATGTATGTATATATGCGTGTATGTATATATGGGTGTATGTATGTATGTATGTATTTATGTATGTATGTATGTATGTGTGTGTATACGTGAATGAAACTCTCTACTGATTAACTTTTTGTCTTCTGTTTTTTGACCTCTTATGGTAATGCTTCGTCGAAAAATTCATTAGCATTTTGAAATTTTGACTCTAACACTAAACTTTGATTCACTTCTCTGTCGGTGATTGATTATGTTCACATGCATCACTAAGATCCAGGGTTCTCGGGTTTACCACTACATCGATCTCTTTGCTTACGGTTTCAATCACGCTTCTGTCCGCTAACGAATCACGGTAACTTACCTCGAACGGGGTGGATTTTGAAGAGATTGTAGTAAATCCAACAATGTCGCTGAAATNGATTGTGCACTGGTCAAACGCCTCGGGAGGGACATGTTGCCCAAGTCTTAGTGCGGCCACTACCGGCTTGGGGAGCATACCTGAAGTGAAGAACAGTGAAATGATCTACAGAAACGGAGTAGACGAAAGACGTGAACTGAATAGTATGGAAAAAGCATCAATGTCTTTCAAAAGTGTGTTTAGAGATCAAACTAAACTGCGGAGAGACATGTTCACCGCACTCACTATGTAGTAATTGATCAGTGAGTTTGGTTTCCGTCTTCAGTGATTCAGTGCGTTCTTCAACCAGTACTTCCAGTCGTGTTGAGTATTCATTCACCTGAAAACAAGAAATTCAAATCGCTGCAGTTATTTAATTCTGTATTATCTAAAGTTGATTACAATTTATCACAGGTACTTCCACAATAAACCGATTACAACATAATTCACAGCTAATAAAGACAAGATAGAAAAGAACAGGATTATTAAAACATTTAAATGTTCCTCGTCATTCGTATATGAACAGACCTCTGAGACTGAGCAGAAGATTTGAGGACATAATTGAAAGTATATTGCAAAAGCAGCTAATATGAATTCAGACTTACAATAATCATCATCAAATCGATCGGGGATATCTTGCGTGGATTCATATCAATCAGACGTTGTCGAATATGCATTGCTGAGGGTCGAATCGGTGTGGATTCCCAGCACATTTTGATTAGCTCGAAATGCGTTGGGGACAGAAAGTGACAACACGAAGGATAAAAACCACATGTGAGCACAAGTTGAATACTGTCAGGAATGCTTAACTGACATAGAAAATTCGTTTACTGGTCTATCCCACAAGCCTTCAGTGTCTATACATTTATTCAGTAGTCCCTATGAGCAAAACTAGGTAAATCGAAATTCTATCGGACACAACTTGAATGTTTACTCTTATCTGACTACAACCGCTCGTGTGCTCCTTACATTTTCTTCACCTATCCAGATGACTTCGATATTGCTCTCCATTTTTCAATGCTGTCATTCTATGACATCTTTATTGATCAACCTAATTAGTGGCCGAAATACAGCAGGTGAAGGAATCACACACGAGCTCAGGTTTGGTATTTTGGAAGACAGTCGATCATCTCAATTAAAGAATTATTCATTCGTAGCCCTCCACTAGCTATTATCTCCATATGCAATATCGTTCTTGTCGATGATGTATGTTGCATAAATGAATGGTAAGGTTCGTCACACTATTCCTATTTAAATACCACAAAGCTCTGCCATGGCGTTTCATCAATAAAAGACCCATCCAACCGATGTAAGAAAATGTATCCCATAAAGGACCCGAAATCGGGACTACTATTGAGGACCCGCTCTCATACTTTTGAAAATTGTACTTAGAATCTGACTACTTTAAAGCTTGCCAGTAGTCAGTTACAGTTACAACCTACTTTTTGCATGCAAATCAAGTCAAATCAATTATTTGCTTTTTGCACCCCGAAAGGTGGATATTCAGCAGTCACATAGTCATCTAACAATTATCGAACAAAATTATTACGTAATTATCGTGAGCAGTGAAAATGAATACAATTTACGAGATAACTGAGTAAAGGTCCGAAGCAATGCTTTCTGCGCTGACAAGAAATCGGGCAAGATAGGGNAATATACACTTATAACGGGACCGGGTGGAAGAGGAGGAAACACACTTGATAATATCTTGATGTGCTGGATGTGAAGGGTTATCCACGATTTTTGTTGATAACGA